ACTGAAAGTAAAGAAAAAAAGCTATAAAAAACAAAAAAACAAGAAACATTTCAAGATATTTTTCAAGAAAGGTTTAATTTTAATTTATTAATTTCTAAAATTTCTATATTTACTTTCCCCACTACAATTTTTATTTTCTTATTCAGTGCCATTAAACTAAGTTAGCACTGCTGTTTTCACTGACACTATCTAATGGTTTGGTGTTAGTCTAACAGAAATTGATTTGAATAATTAGAAAAATCGAATTTTTTTGAGCTTAAATAATTTTGACAATTACGATAAACTAAAAGAATAGTAATAAATATAATTAATAAATTTTTGTACACAACAATGAAACAACAACAATTTTTGATTTTTGATTCTTATAATTCTAATTAGTATTATAGTATTATTTATCACCAAACAATATTCATTGTTTTTAAATCTGTCTAAATTTGTTTAATCTAAAATGATTATTGTCAACAGCAAAAATCCTCTCCTCTTCCCCGAGTAATGACGACAATTTTGTAGTAAAATAAAAATAAAACACTTAATATTTTTAGTTTACTAACTGATCAATTTTTTGTTTTGTTGCAGCAACAGCAGTCAGTCTAAATAGCAGCAGCATTCTGTTTTCAGTTCAATATCAATCTTAACATATGACAATAGTCAACTGTACAAAGATAATAAACAGAATAAGAAGAAAAAAAAAGACTCTTTTTTTTTTGAAAGAAAAAGATTGGTATGAAGACGAAGAAAAATTTAAATGACATATAAGTTTCTTAAAATCAGTCTAACTTTGCTGATTTTTTCTATTCATTCATTTATTCATTCACTCACTCATTCATTTTTTTTTTTTTTTTTGCTCAATGTAAACGGCAACAAGTAGGTAACAACGCTATCACTTAAATCGTTAATTCCATAAGACAATATCATCTTCAAAACCTCTTTTCCATCACCAAATTACCGGTTAATCATTTAGTTATATCATTATTTTTTTTATGTAGTTATTTATATGGAAAAGACAAAAAGTATACGTGTAGTTTTTTTTGGTGTTATAACAAAACACCAATTCTTCTCCCCTGTTGAAACATTTGGTTGGCTCCAATCAATACCACAAAAATTATAATCTACTGAAAATGAACGATGATTGAAGATACAAAAAAAAAAAAAAAAAAACAACCCATTTTTTTGCTCATGAAAAGTTGGTTTTTTTCGCATGTCTTTTATTGTAAAACAAAAAAAAAAAAAAAAAACTAGAAGAAAAATTTTTTAATTTTTGAACCGAATGTTAATGCAATGTTCTGTCTCTCTTTTTTTCGTCGTCTTCAATTTTTTTTATTTTGATTTTTTTTTTTACTCCCTCTTCATTTCTTTAAATTTATTTTGATTCAGTTACATTTCTTGTTTTTTTTTTTTCTTTGTTGTTTTACTTCAATTTTTTTTCTATGTTTTACTAGTATTTAACCAGCAAATGATAGAAAAATTAAAATTGATTGTAAAAAAAGCAGTAACAACAGCAATAAGAAAGCAAGAAAAAAAAATCAAAATTTATAGACTTAATATATACACACTTTTTGAGCAAAATAAATAAGTTAAGAAAACCAAAAAGAAGAAGAAAAAAAAGTAGCAAAATTAGAAAGATCAAATAACCTTGAATCTTGGTCCAATTAGTGGAAAATTTGTAACCGTCTTATGATACGGATCAAATCTGCTGTGCAGAAAGGTGTTACTTGCAGTAAATACTGCATTCCATGAATAAAAAATACATATAATAATTACAGCAATATAAAATCGTAGTTCATATTTTGGTAATTCTGGATAGATAAAATATTGAAGCTTTTTTGCTGGTCTTGTCGTTGTTGTCGTTGATGTTGTTGTTGTTGTGGCCGTCGTCGTCGTCGCCGTTGTTGATGTTGTCGTTGTCGGCGGTGATGATTGTGGTGATGCTGCCGCTGGTTCTGTAGCAGTTGCTGATTTTGTTGTCGTTGCACTACGTTGATGACGATTCATTCAGGCATACAACACTTTTGGACGATGTATTCTCTCACTTGGCCTACCGATTGAATAGTAATAGAACTAAATTTTCTCCTCAGTAATCTAGGTCACCACTGTCACCAATATCCATGATTGCCGAATGCCGACTTCATGGCCCCAGTACAAAACTGTTTGGTCAGCGGCCTCGCCACTATAAAGTATTGCCAAAATAACAACGACAACAGCAACAAATACATTTCTCAGCAGTTAAATGATTCCAATTGCAGCAGTAATAAATGTAAATGTACTTATAACTTTTAATAACATTCTGATTATCAAATAATTAGAAAAACTCAGTTTTAGGCTTATTTAATTTAGTTTGTTGACTTGTTAAATGACGCTATTTGTTGATGTAAGAAGGCACAACTTCTTTCTTTTCTTCACTTATTTATTTATTTATTTTTTTTTTTTGACATTATCCTCAGCATTCAATAATTGGGTTAAAACGTGTTTGTTGAGGTTTGTTTCTGAAAGGCTGTAAAAAAAAAGGTTAGATTGATTAGGCAAATATATATGTATGGAAAAGGAGTAGTAGAGAGAGGAAATAAGAAGAAGATTTCCTTCATTTTTTTTTCTTTTACAAATCAGTTCAAGGTCATCAAATTTAATTGCCGAATGAGAGCAAAAAAAAAAAAAAAAAAGAAAAAAAGGAAGAAGAAGAAAAAGAAAGAAGAAAGTCTCAGTCAACCATAAAAGATTGCCTTAAAAAAACCTTCGATACAATAAGTTGTACTTTATTTGCTGTAACAATCTCACTTTTTTTTTCTTTGCTTTGTTTCTTCAGCACTTTTTTGATAAAATTAATTTTTATCAAAATGAAACTGTACAACAAAAATTTATAGGTTGAAATTATGTCTAAAAGAGTTTTGACTGCTACATTTTTTGGCTGTTGTCGTCGTTGTTATTTGACGATACTACTTTACGTATCGTCAACGTTGATTTTGTCAAAGTTGGCCAAGCACCGTCTTCGGCTTCGCCTTCACGTTCATCTTCGTCGTCGTCGTCGTCGTCACCGTTGTTGTCAACGTCATCGCCATCGACGTAATGGTTGCCTACAAGAAGAAACTGAGAAACTGTTATGCTCTTCGACAGTTTTTTAATCACACAGACGAAGCGAACAGAATTGAACGCGGCTTCTAAAGGTTGAATACAGAACGTCCCGTCTCATTCATACAATCGTATTTGACAGTTTACGCAAAACTGATATTCTTTTGGAATTCGATTTTTTTGTCGCATTTTTTTTTTTTTTTTTTTTTTTTTTTTTTTTTTT